AGCAAGATAATCTGAAGGAATTGAAATTGGAAAGAAATATGAAAGATGATAGATTAGGATAGGAGAGGGGGAGGGAAGGGCTGACCCGCAATACTGCAACATCTACAACTCCGCGCCCTCGACACTATAGCAGCTACAGTATCGTGGGTCGGTAAGCCCCCGTGTCACGTAAATTTTAACCCTATGATTTATCTCTTCTATGTATGTATGCTTTCATGTGATTATAGATATTTATATAAATTATCAAGTAAATTTTTTGTAGACATTTTAAAAAGGTAAAGAAAGAAATTGAATCTAATTTAATCTTTAATTCATATTAATTATAAAATAATTATAAGAATACTCTTTGATGAGTGGACTGGGTTATGAATGCAGCATTTGAACTTTCTTTTTTAAGTTCAGAACAAAATAATATAATTCAAATTTCTTATTTAAATTTTAAAAATAATATCATTATGATTTGTTGCCTGATTCAAGTTATTTTATCAAATTATTCTATATAAAATGTAAGCACATTTGGAAATATGAGAGTTTATATTTATTATTAATTATAGAGATTATTTTATAAATAATAATAATAACAATAACAAAGCCTTAATTCCACTACATGGGGTTGGCTACATGATTTCTTTTTCTCCATTGCGTCCAATTTAGTGTCCTATTTAGTGTCATTATTATTAATTATAGAAGATCGATGTCTTGATCGATATATTGTGGCTTGTGATTTTTTTGTAGGTGAATTTTTGCTGAATAAGGGATGAACATGCCCTTCTTTGTTATGCGTGTATCCCTTACTATTTTGGTGTGCTCTGCTTGTAAATTGTTACAGATGTGCTCATTTAGTCATTATTACGATCATATTGATGTGATGTGATTCTTAGCTCAAGCTTTATTTGTTGATTAATGCATTTTTTTCTGATATATCCAATTGACTTTCATTATTACACTATTTATTAGTTGCATGTTACTACTTCACAATATAGTTGATTAAAGTTATTCTTTTGTAATTATATATTTTTATACTATAAATGATCATACAAGCAATAATTCTCCTAATAATTTATTGATTGTCTATTCATAATACACATGATTGTTTTAATAATATGTATGTCGGTATTAAATCATTTTGGATATTGGCTAGCCGGTCTGATGAGTCCACAGAGTGACAATGCCACAAAAAAATTATTGAATTTTCTTGCAATTGGTGCATACCTTTCTCAATTTCAGGGTGTTGTCGTAAATTGATTCTAAATGTATCTGTGTGCGCGTGCGCGTGCGCGTGCGCGTGTGCTTGTGTGCGGGTATATTTCTCTATTTCAGGGTGTCGTAGTAAACTAACTCTAAACATATGTGTGTGTGTCTGTGTGCGTGCAGACAGGTGGAGGCAGATTCGTGGGCGCGCATGCGCATGCGCGTGCTTGTGTGTGTTTGAAGAGATCAATATATTATTAAAGAGTTTTCTTATAGAACATAAATATGAGCTAAATTTCTGTGGATATGTCGGCATGTGGATATAACAACCATTTGTTTTTATCTATTTCTTTTTTAGGGCATTTACATGCAGAACACCCCAAGCATTGCTATCTACCAATCAAACACCCTTTTTCATCAATTTTTCAAATTCTCACTCAAATATCAAAGTTCATGATAAAATGCTAACCCCATGTTTTTCATTTTTATCAAATTCTCAATGGTTTGATTGTGGTACGCATAAATGCATCAGTTTAGTGTTTTAGGTGCTTAATTTGTAAATTTCAATGTTTCGGGTGCTTTTTATGTAATTATGCCTTAATTTTTTATTTTTTGTTGAGCATTGTTAGATAAATTGTAATTAGAGAAATCTCGTTTTTTGCATATTCTTTAGAAATCTTATAATATAATAATATTTTATTCACGCCCTTTTCTTTGCTCATATTTATGCCTCGTGCCTTGTTGTTTATTCTTTTGCTTTTATCTACTGTTTTTGTTTCCGACAAACCCACACCTTAAATTTTTGAATTTTAGTTTGATAGATATGCATTGGGAACGAGCTTTTTATACTCGTGCTTGAGATGTAGCATTGATGAGGGGTATGGTTAGGACCATGTAATTGGATTTAATTGTGTATTTATGTTTTTTTTTTGGGTATCCTGGTAGATAGATGTAAAAATTTTGGATTTAGATGGGTATGATATCATTGGTGGTAATTATTATTGAAATCAAGTTTATGTTGATTTAAATCATTGCTAAATTTTTATCTCACACTTTCCTGCTAGGTTTTATAAATTTCTTGCATTGCTCGACAGGCAGATTGTGACAGGGTTGCCCATTCTTGGTGTATGATAGTCTTTTCTTTTGCATTTCTTGATATTCTTAGGGTAAACATAACAAATTCTTAATATTATTGCATAGGATTTTACCTGTGTTAACTATTGATTTCTATATTAAAAAAGATACCAGGTCTGATTGCAGTGAGATAAATCAACTTACAAAACAATCTGTAATAACTACAGAAATCCTAAAAACTTCTTCTTCATTTACTGTATTTTGTCTGTCAGCAGGTTTACCACCAAAAAAACCAATAATTTTTAGAAGAATAGTATCATATTTTTTTCGAAGCAAAATTTTTTTGGTTGTAGGCAAATTAAATTCCTTGAAAGTATGTGGGGCAACCTAGATATCTGGTTATAAAGCATTTTTTGTGGGTAGATTATCATTTACATGGACTTTCATAATAATGTACTTGATATAGTATATTTAATAAGGGTATTGTGATCTATAGTGCTTTTATGAAGGTTAAATTCAACAAGAAATTTGCAACATTCATATAATCAAACTTAAAACTTTTACTTAATCCCCATAGACAGCCTTGTTAAATTCGGGGACTTTGGTCTCTTGCATAGTATGGTAGTTGCTTTATATTGAAGGTTTTAGTGAGGCTTCCATAGAGAAAGATTTTACTCACATTCATTTGTATTAATTTTCAACCTTGATTGATGATAACAGTGATGCGGGAGCTCTTGTGCGTCCTGCTACCAGCTATAGTCTAAATAGTAAGATTTTGGCGGACGTTATGTTGCTCGATTACTGGATTCCATAATCCCGCAGAGGATTTTGTCCTTTCGCAACTTTAGCATGGATTTTTTCCTTTTCTAGCATATTTCCAATTTCTTTATTTCTAATTAGGTTATTTTCAATTAAGGAATTTTTATATTTTTTGTATTGTCTGTTTGAGATATTAGCTTTGGTTTTGTGTGTTTTGCAGGTTGTATTCTTTGTTTTCTATCTTAAGAGGTGTTGGATCCTCTTTCTTTTGCTAGTGGCGTGTGTCTATATATTTGATTAGAAATATGTGTTGAAATCGCCATTTTGCCATTCGACCCACCTTTTTTTAGTTGGACAGCCGTTGAACTCCAATATGCTGTCTAATACCTGATTTCACCTTTTTATCCCCTTTCAAACGCTGTCAGTCATCCCTATTCTCCTTATACGATTCCACAATCATCTCCCCATGAAATGCGCTTCCTAAACATCTTCTTGGAGCCCTTGAATGGTGTCATCCTGCTAGCTTGTCTCTCGTGGATTCAAATTAAAGGAGTCGTTGAATCATTAGCATCTCTTCTCTGTCGGCTTTTGACGTCTTTTTTTTTCTTTATCACTATCCACTTCTATATTGTCCAGTTTTATAATTGCTTCTTACTTAGTGAAAGAGATAATATTCACATTCATCTGTATTAATTTTCAACCTTGATTGATTATAAAAGACAAGAATTTTTGCTAAGTTAAGCTTGATATCTATGGAGAATTTGTCAAAAATAGTTGATTCCATAAAATTGAGTAAAACCTTGGGCAAACATGTTGGTGTTATATCTATCAACAAAGCCACCAAGATAAAATTTCTAATTGGTGTATCAAAATTAGGGGTGTGTGGGGTTCATTTGGGTAATCTCACTGAGATCGGTTGATGCATAAATATTTTCTAGAAAACAAGCGATAGTAGTTGTCATCATTTGGTTAGACTAATGAAGACATACTTTGAATGCAGTAAACCGACGTATAATAACTCTCTAGGTTCAATCCTATGAGAAATTTTCTTATGATATTCATTTTTTGATGGTCTAAATTTGTCAATTTGGGCAAAGTTTGATGGACTAACAAGGGATTCAATCTCACCAACTGAGAAGAAATGTTGCAGGCTTACCCATGAAGGTAGTTTATGTATGGAGCAAAACTTTTATCTTTATATGTGACATCGATTTCAACAACAACAACAACAACAACAACAACAACAAAGCCTTAATCCCACTATGTGGGGTCGGCTACATGAATCCTTTTTCTCCATTGCGTCCTATTTAGTATCATATTTTCATTTAGTTCTAGTAAATTAAGATCATTTTTAATACAATAAGCCCAAGTCTTCCTAGGTCTACCTCTGCCTTTCTTAACACAAGTCGAATCTAAAACATCTACTCTCCTAATCGGATCATCTAATGGTCGACGTTTAATATGACCAAACCATCTAAGACGACTTTCTCTAATTTTGTCTGTCACAGGAGCTACACCAACCCTATCACGAATATATTCATAAAAAATAATCTTTTGAAGAGACTTTGAATTTACCTGCGTATGACTTCTTACATTCGATCTCTATTCTTCCCAGGCCTTTATCTGGCAAAAAATAATCAAAATGGTCGACGTTTAATGTGACATCGATTTCAACATGGTAAAAAAATAATCTTTTGAAGAGACTTTGAATTTACCTGCGTATGACTTCTTACATTCGATCTCTATTCTTCCCAGGCCTTTATCTAAAAAAAAGTTAATTGTTGGGACTAAGATTGTTATTGAGTTTATAATTTTTAATGCTGTTGACGTCTGTCACTATTGATTCTCGTGAAGGATTAGAGCTGTTTTCTTTATCAGTTTATAGTTTTTTTAATTGTTTAGAATGCAAGTTATTTTTTTCTTTCTGTCTCATTCACACGCTAAAAAGAGGTTTCTGCTTATTTCTTTCTACACAGGTCGTTGTCAGTGACCATGGAATGACTCTGAGAGGAAATCATGGAGGATCGTCTAATGAGGAAACAGATTCTCTTGTTCTTCTTGTCGATCTATGGTCTGAAAGTCCCATCTTCCCACTCAGCATGAATAATGAAGTTTTTCAAGTAACCAGCAAATTGTGCACCCTTTATTTCACTTTCACTGTTTAAAAACTTCCCAGGACAATTTGTGGATTTCTCTAAAAAAATGAAATCGATCAAGATCATTGAATTTCATAATTGATTAAGCTAGTTCTAATAAAATAGAATAAATGGCATGCTGATAATTTAAGAGAGCTCCTGAAGTTCTATTTTCTAGTGAAGGTTGACACAGTATTGCATTCTCATTTACTCCATTATTGAAAAAAGAATAAAAAATTAATGGGGTGAAACATTTCAATCATTTGTTATTCCGTATTTTGAGTAACTGCTGATATTAGTGAAGGAAGATTCATTACAAATCTTACCCCGGTCCTATGGAAGAATAGTTGAATATCCGAACAAGATCTTAGGAAGTGGCTTTTAAATGAAAATAGGTACTTTGGGCCTTAAATATATATAAATAGTGGGGAAGGATTTACATGCGTGCTACATAACTCATTTGTATTTATATACCTAGCACATAAATTTTAATATTTATATATATGACACTCAAATATTTTAACATCAGATCAAAATACCATTATTGATTTCTTTTTGGTAAAGTGAAATACATCCTTTCATCCTAAGATTTTGATTTGATTCCAGTGCTAAAGTTTTATGTATTTAAGTATCAATCTTTAGATTTTAAATATGTAAATTCATAAGAATTGTGTGGTATGCTTATAAAGTTTCCTTAAATTTATAATTGGGCTTATTTTTTTCCATTATGAGGCTAGTTTGGAAATTAATGGTTGCTTAAGCTTTTAAAAGTAGATGCAAATTTTAAATTGTTGGTATGGAGACCAAATCTCATTGACCCTTGGCTATATGCTTCATTCGTCACCATCTTAATTACATCACTCTTGGGACTTTATTATATCTTGTCTTGCCACAAATAAAAAAACTATCCTTAATCAAGTAAACACCTAACAACATGAAAATGAAGAATGATGCATGAATAATAGTTGGATAATTAAAGAGAAAGTAACATAAAATGTTTCTAATTGAATTTCTTAACTATTCAAATCTTATTAAAAATAGTCCCTTAGCTTCTTAAATTAGATTCAAAATAATCCAATAGTGGGATTATTTTGGATCATATATGAGGAGTTAGGGGACTAAAATATATTTATTGTCTGGGACTAAAATGAATTCATACAAATAGTCCATTGGTGTCTTTGACCTTTTCTCCTTTGGTAACTAGATTAGTCAAGTTTTCTCGGATGATGTTTATAGTGACAACTAGTAGCCGGGACAACAAAAAGGAAATCAAGTTGCTAAATTTTTTATCAAAGCTTAACTAATTGATTTTTTTATTTAGATTGATTGATATTCAAAATGATGGCCTTAAGATTAGTGAACCGTGTTTTTTTTTGTCAGTAGGGCACATTTTTAGTTTTGAGGAGTGAAATCTTGTCATTATTCTGTCTATCAGGAAGGACGGAAATCATACAGCTAAATTAGGAGCTTCCTTATTTAAATTATTTCCAATGTCTTTATTATGATTTATTTCCGTTTTAGCTGAGTATTTAGATTAGGAATATATATTATTACGTTACCTAAAATAGATTATGCACTTTATTTTGTACCTAAAACAGATTGCAAGATTATTATTTAAAGGAATGAAATCAAAGGAAAGGACATCGAGCCTATTCAGAATTCAGTCTGTTTTTCTCAAAACTTTGACATGGTTTCAAAGCTATTTTTTTGCCCTGACCACCGATAATTGTTGAAGGACCGTCAAGGCTCCCTTCCCACCGGCCTTCTTTCGGGAAGGGGGGAACTATTTCTTTACCTTGATTCGCCCATCTAAGAATTTTCGTTCGCTGCGACTGCTTCATCCGCCTTTGATTCGCCTTCTTCCATCTGCCGAGTCTGGTTCTGTCTCCCGCGTTTGATTCCAGCTGCGATCTGCGATCCTGTCCATTTGTTATTTTGTCTGCGATTCAAGTCTCATCCGCAATCTGCGATCTCATTCACTTCATTCGCGTTGTCCGATTAAGATCATCTTCGCTAGGCATCGCTGATTCTGTGGCATCTTCGACTGCTTCTTACGCTTCACTCCTTCCGCTTAAGCTTCGGCTTTAGCACTCATTCTTAGATCAATGACTTCAGCTTCGACAAAACATAAATCTTAGGTTTCGACACTCTCAGGCTTCGGCACCCTCGGGCTTCGACACTCTTCGACACTCTTTGGCTTCGACACTCCCAGACTTCGTCACTCTTGGGCTTCAACACTCATTGCTTGAGGATTTTTGGTCCTGACAATATTATCAGTTTCTTGTTGGCAAATTGATGCTTCTTGATTAGTCAACATCAATTTGATAGGGGATGTCAATCAGGAAGGACGGAAATCAGACAACTAAATTTGGAGTTTTCTATAATTAGGAGCTTCCTTATTTAAATTATTTCCAATATTTTTATTATGATTTTTTTCCCTTTTAGCTGAATATTTAGATTAGGAATATATATCATTAAGTTACCTAAAATAGATTATGCTTTATTTCGTACCTAAAATAGATTGTAAGATTATTATTTAATGGAATGAAAGCAAAGGGAAAAGACATCGAGCCGATTCAGAATTCAACCAGTTTTTCTCAAAACTTTGACACATTCTACTGCTTCTTTAAGGAAAAGTGACCAAATGAAATAATTGTGCTGCGACTATTGCAATTTTTTTATACATAAACTGTATTGATCTTCAGGTGGATGTTGCTCCAACTTTGGCCCTTCTATTTGGTGTCCCAATTCCAAAGGACAATGTTGGCGTATTGCTCATTGAAGCTTTTAATTCACTGGAAGGTGAAAAACTTGATAAATTTCATTTTATGATATTGGTTTAATTTGCCATTGGACACCTGTTTTATGATAAATTATTTATGGATGTGTAAATCATAATTTTTTTTATGAATTAAGAATTAAGAAATATATTTTTTTTCATTTTCCAAAATTTTTCTATTCGTCTCGTGTTTACACATTATTCAAAGTATATTGCATTGTTGATTTTTTTTTGATGGCATGAAGGCTATGTCTATTCTAGTTTGATTTTGACATTATTCACAATTAAAAAAGTTCAATATCTTATAAATGTATCTAATTTCACCCAAATACTTAAAAAATTATAGAATGAATTGCTCGAAGGATTGGGTTGACCATGAAATTTTTTATGTTTAAAAATGTTTTTCTCTTGTCCAAAATTATGAATTTGATTGCACGTTCAGTTTGAGCTACCAAATCCATTATTGTGGTATTTGCATTTAAAGCAACTATATTTATCTCCATTATTTTAATAACCACATGCAAAATGATAGTAATTAGATTCATATTTTAGGCTAAAATTTTTAGTCAATATATAAAAAGTAATTGTGCTCAAATTTCTTGACTTGATACTCTTCTTTTATTTATATTAAATGCATAACTAGAAACCATAAACTGTTAAACACCATACTAAAACCATGCAACTTAAGCACGTGTGTGTTTTCAAGCGTTTTTCGATCTAAACAACAGCCTGATCAGTAGGTTTAGTCCATCTATGATTTTCTTTTTTTCAGAAAATTATTAAATGGAGCCATCATAATATTAGCCATTAAAGAATTGTGGGTAAAAATTTGGTAGGTCACGAAAACTTTGAATATCATGCTTATCTGTTGGTTTTGTACGATCATTAATCACGTAGACCTTATCAATATTAATAGACAATCAATCTCCAGTTACAACAAATCTTAAAAACAAAAATTACAGGTGCAGTCATGAAGTGATATTTCTATAGATTCAAATACTACTTTTCTGCTTGCAAATCCCAAGTACTCTCTTATGATGCATCAAATGCTCTTCTTATGTATATTTATAAATTTAAATATCAACATTGTTAACAATAAGAAATTTTCAAATAAAGGGACGCACGTCATTCTTCATTGGCCTCATAGAAGTGGCGGACATAAAGTCCGGCACCTGAGTATTCTTTATAATGCGGGATGTCCACTGCACGGGAGTTTCTGTGACGGAAGCGGGATTCCGCTTTGTGTTGTTGTGTATTTCATTATATTTCTTGAATGAAGAATTGGAGCTTATCAAGTGTTCTGCTGTTGCAAATCTTGAACATATTATGCGGGAAGAGCTCATTTCTTTTTTTGCGCTCATAATATATATGAAAACTAAGGATGTAATCTCATGAAGAAATCACATTCAGTTTGAATCAGAGTTTATTTCATTATTTAGAAGGCAAAACGTAGAGAAAGTTGTCGTTTATTGAGTTACTTGAAAATCCTTGTTTAATTTTATTAAACTACTTGCTGTTACATCAGTTTCATTTTCTGAACTCAGATGAGCATAAATTGCGAGCCTTGGAACTGAATTCCTGGCAACTGATAAGATTGCTGCAAGTTCATCTGCCTCACTTACTTTGCCAAGAACTGAGAGACAGCGCTAGTAGTGACCAAGCCCTACAATCTAAAGAGTTCTTGGGTAACATTAGGGAGAAGCTGCATCATTTGTACTCTAAAGCTAAGGCTGCTCATAAACTCTGGAAACTTAGCGAGCATGACTCCAGCAGGACGTAAGATCAGAGATTCAGACTTGGCCATTTCAATAATCATGATTAATTTTCATTCAAATTGGCCTTTATTTGCAGATTTGCGAATAGCACCAACTTCAATGCTGCAGTTGCAGCGTATTATGATTTTTTAAGATGTGGGAGTGAGTGGCTGTCACATAAAGCAACTGATGTAATTTTCTTTTTGGGGCATTTACATACATAGCACACAATTCTTATTTGTTTACATATCTCACATCTAAACTTTCATATTTACACACGTACACTTTTAATATCACATAAAAAATAGAACTATTGTTACTTTGTAACAGTGAAATACACTTTTTCATGCATAGGTTTAAAGCACCGTAGTGTTATGTATGTAAAAATGGAAGTTTAGGTGTCAGATTTGTAAATACATCAAAATTATTTGCTATGTATGTAAATTTTTCTTTCCTTTTTTACGTTTTCTTTCCAAGTTTCTATGAAGTTCTAAACTTGTTATGCACCTCCTGTCTTTAAATGAGATAGATTTGGCTCACATCTATGCAGAAACCTATCAGGTGGATTCTGTCTGGCGTTGTCATTTTGCTGCTGTCATCTGTTTTATTGCTGTATATTTTGTTTCTCCAATTCAAAGACCATGAGATAGAAATAAAATTCAGTTCTGCCTTGAAAAACTGTAACTTGATGTGGCATTTGGATGAGGCTTTTGTTTCCATTGGAACCTTTCTTCATATTTTCAGTCTTGGTGCAAGTTCCATGGTGGAGGAAGAGCAATACACGTGGCACTTTTTGACATCAACTCTGTTCTCTATTCTTTTCTACATGACCATCTTGCCCTTGCTTAAGGAGCGAAAAACAGTTTCAGTCGAAATGAATAAGGAGGAAAAACTTGATTTCAATCTGTCACTGACAAGTCGTGCTCGTGCTGCTAGAGGTGCCATCAATGTGATTTTCGTGAAACCTTTTCAAACTTATTACCAGATATATTCGTTAATGATTGTTCTGATTTGTGGAAGTATTTTAAGGGGTTGGCATCAAGGAGGTGTAAACTGGGCTCATCTTCCTGATATATCGAAGTGGCTGGAGCAAGCCGGTTCTTCCACCATGAAGGCCCTTGAGATAACATCTTTACTCTCGCTCATGATGTTAAGTTTATTTGCCCTTAGTTTACTAAAGTCGAGGACTAGATACATATGTATAGCTTCTCTTGGCATCATAGTTTTGGGGTTCCTTGTCTTACTGCATATCATAGAGAATCGACCTATAAATCATTCGAATTCAATAGTTCAGATATTTTATTTCAGTTCTGGCTTCTTGGTGTTTGGAACATTCATGATTTCGCCTTGGATAATGCCTCTTCATTGCCACAAAAATATTTTCCCGAAAAAGAGTTCAGGTTCTCATTCTAGTGATTTGGATATTGATGGTACTTTAGTGGGAGTACAAAACTCGCTTTACCTGATTGGAGTAATGAATGTCTCATCCTGGTGCCTTTTACAGCTTCTTCTGCAACAACCAGTCAATGCTGTCCCTATATTGCTGATTTTTGTGCGCACAATGGCCAGTGTGATCTATTTTTCAGCCGGACAACATAGGCAATTGGTCGAGGTTGGGTTAGGTTTATTTATTTCCTTTTTTTTTTTTGGGACCACTCAATTCCTATGTATTTACATATGTAACAACTTAACTTTATTTCTTACATTAATATCACTCAAATCTGTCGCAACACATCAAATATACTGCCTTTTTAAAATTTAAAAGGTGAAATACACCTTTTCATGCATTTATAATGTGGCATGTATTCAAAATTTGAAGTTTAGATTTTAGATATGTAAATACATAGGATTAAGTGGTATGTAAGTATATCTTCTTCTTTTTTTTTTTTTTTTCTCGTGGCAAACGTGATCAAATCAAAAGTTATTGAATTTTAATCGAGTATTCATCTTTACTATCAATTATTTCCATTTGGAACTAGTTCTTTTGAATGTAGTATATGCACTTTGCATGAAATACTATAGTCTATGCACTTTGCATGAAATTTTAAGAAAGATGATTCATCATTTCTTTTATCCTTTATTTGATTTACACTAAATATAATGGTGTTTAACATGATTTATTACTGAGAAAATATTGCAGGACTTTTTTGTTATTAAAAGATACATTATCATGCATTATACCAAAGATTGGTATATGAAGTTGATGTCCGCTTTTCTATATTAGTTTGGAAATTTTGAGAATTTTATTTTCTACGAGTCTCTGTTTGTTTGATTTTTAAATTCTAATGATAGCCTATAGAAACCAAAAACAATATTTTTTCCATTTTCATATTGTGAAAGCTACAGTATTTCAAAGGTGAGTTGGGTTGGTCTGCGTCATGATATGATGTGTATTTTGAGGAATTGGCAAAACCTATTTTAGCCACTGTGAAATAGGACGAGGAAAAAAAAAGATGAATGCAAAAAACACATTTTATGTAGGTTCACCCAATAGATGGCTACTTTTTGTTGTTGTTTCTGCAAATTATATTATGATTTGATTTTGGAGAATTACAAGCATAAGATGGCCGCCCCCTCTTCATAAAGAAAATCCACTGTTCTTACAAACATAATAAAATTTTCAAAAAAGACCTTAATGAAATTAACCCGCACATTTTGCTTAAAAACTAAATAACCCACAAATAAAATTAATTTGGTTTGTGACTTGCGACTAAGTTTGCCTCGAACATTTTTTTATAGGCTACAAGTTTAGGATCCAAAACAGAACGGTCTGAAATAGGTCTTGGGCTAGTGAGCACTAGAAAATTTGATTTTTTTTCTTTTTTTATTTAGAATTATATTTGGTTGACACGCTTTATGGCATTACCAATTACATCCTTAGAAACAAACCAGTAATGGCTGTTATGATGAGGTGAAGAGCCTATTGGCTATAAATATTGTGCATGCAATGACCATAATCCAATGGCTTTCGTCTGAATTTCAAATTTTCATGCAAAATTAGTAAGAGTTGTCTTTTTTATGTTGCATTTAGCTCTGTTATACCTGACAAACTTGGTTTCATCATTGATAGAACTTTGACATGATCATGATGGCATTCTCTTTATTGCTTTATTTAGCTTTTGTTGCTTTTAGTGTTAATTGAGCTATATCTATTTTATTGCCCACAGGTCGCTGCCATATACTTCTTAGGAATGGCTGGCCATTTTTCTATGGGAAATAGCAATACCTTGGCGACCATTGATGTTGCTGGGGCTTTCATAGTAATTAACTTTTATTAATTTGTGTATTTTATTTAACAAATTTTATTAAATTTTATTTTGTACCTCAAACTATGTTTTTGATCAGCATGCATTCTAAACTGTGGTCAGGGTGTCTCAAGCTACTCGATCGTATTTCCAAGCATACTGATGTTCATTATCACCTTTTCGTCTCCAATTTTATCGTATCTTAGCATGGTGGTAAGCATATCTACGAAGAACATTATGAATCTCTCTTTGTCGGCAAGTCCCGATCTGAGCCGGCTACTCAAACTGTTGATTGCTTTTCCTTGTTTGCTTCCCTTGGTCCTTAACTCCGCTGTTTTGGTGGCATTTACCATTATATTGTTGGTTATGAGAAATCATTTATTTGTTTGGAGCGTATTCTCTCCCAAGTAAGTTGATTGTTTTTTGTTCGAGAATTACCACACATGCAGATAAAATTTCCCTTTCTAGAAGTATGCCTATATGATTGCTAATTGAGGCTAATATTTTGATTCAAACCTATGATGCATTTTTCTGCTTAAGGATGGCCTTCAAAATGAGAGACGTGTCATAATGTTTCTTTGATTTTTTGCAGGGGATCATTTTAGTTCCAAAGTCTATAAAAGTCTCTATTTTGTCCCTAAGTTGTTTTAGTGGTGGTTAAATTAATCCTTTTTGGTGACTTTTTAGCCCTTAAAAAAAATAGTATGGGGACTAATTTGCTACTTTTATAGGCTCTTAGCCGGGGACTATTTTGACACTACTCTCAAATATTATGCAATGCATTGTACTAGAGCTGTTATGAGCAGTGGACGAAGATACTTTTATACTGGAATGTAAATGCGAGTTTTAATATCATCTATTTGATGAAACCATGATTGTAGCCCCTTGCACTTAACAATATTTTTCTTTCATTTAGGTTGATTAGATGCTATTTTAGTTAAGGAAAAATTTTCTGGCCGGACTCCTGATGTAGCTCTACGTGCAGACTCCAATAATATACCTCCACGTGTGCTAGATTGTGGGGGTTATTTCGGGGTTATTGAGGTAGAACCGCGGAGGTTATTTAGGAGTTGTTTTGGGGTTATTTCATGGTTATTTAAGAGAAACCTATATATTTCACTTCAATAACCCAGACCCACCCCAAAATAACATCCGTGGTTCCACTTCAATAACTATGAAATAGCATCGCAGATGTTATTTCGAGATTATTGAAGTAGAATATATGTGTTTCTCTTCAATAACCATGAAATAACCCAGAAATAACCTCCACGGTGTTATTTCGGGGAGTTTATTTCTGGGTTAATAAAGTGGAATCACATAGGTTATTTTAGGGTTATTGTGGAGTCTACGGTTTCACTTTAATATTTTGTAGGTGGCCCGATATAGCACACATGCGATATATTGCTAGGAGTCCGCATGTAGAGCCACGTCTGGAGTCCGGCAGAAAATTTTTTCTTTTGTCAAAGTTAAACTGTCAATGAAATGAGTGAGTTCAAAAAAAAGAAAAAACCCATCAAAGCTAACTGGAAAGAAAGGAAATGAGAATCCATTTGATGTGATTAGAGGAGCACCCTAGGAGTCCTCATTTAAGACATTTTGTTTTGAGTTGGATAAATTTTGGAGAGTAAATATATA